ATATGGTGGCTCACAACCATCTGTAATGAGATCTGGTGCCCTCTTCCGGCGTGTGGGCATACATGGAGGCAGAATGTTGTATACATAATAAATAAATAAATCTTTTAAAAAATTACATATAACAAAACAGTTATAAAGCAAGAATTACAGTTACAATATTTACATCTACTTTATCTTTTTTCATAACTAAAGAAAACAACTATAACTATCTATCTATTCTTCAACTCCATCAAAGACTCGAGAAGGATACAATATTACCTAAGCAAACAAGAAATAAGCAACTTCCAAACTCTAGAAATAACAGAGACATCTCGCTGCCTGGACAGTCACCCAAAGTTTCTCTGTACTGTTGGGGCATCCATCTTCGGCCTACAGGCCCATAGTTTCCAACAGACATTTCCATGAAGCAGGAAATCCAAAGACAGTTCAGTCACTATCTGATGTGTCCTGCAGAATGTCTCGTAGACTCCTTCATGAATCAGGAACCCCGAAAGATCATCTCACCTTTAAGCAAGTTCAGTAGTCCTCTCTCTGTGGGTTCTCTGTGTCCAGTTTATGCAATAGTCCGGGCCAGAGCAGTTTCTTGCCCAAATGGCTATCAAACTCCATAAGGATCCTCTTCGATGCCCATCTTCTTCTTGAAGTAGATTGGTGTTTCCAAAAGCAGACATGTCTCATTGTCATGAAAAACCCTAAGTTATTAAAACATTAAATCCTATTCTTTAGTCTTTGAAAGATATGAAGAATGACTATCTAAAATATATCTATGTACATCTGGAAAATCTAACATGACTACAAACTTAACTATTATAGATGCTGTGCTAGATTCATCTCAGTCAGGAGTCGAGTGAAGTAACTTTTTTGAAGGTGTTCACATCAACCCTTCAGGATGGCGTGGTCCATCATACCATATTGGAATAGAAGAAATCCACAGGGTCTCATCTTCTGTAAAAACAAAAGAAGAAACTTCTTTCCAAAGTATCATATCCTCAGATCCAAATTTTGAAGTCACGGTATTTTCAAAATATCTATGTTGGATTAGTTCAGCAGGATTTATAAACACATATCTGTTAGCAGCTGTTGCTCCTTCCTCAGCATTCAAACAATTCAAAGAGAGCATAATAGCATACAGTATCAAAATTCTCTTTATTTTCCATCGTTGTACGGCTTTTTAAAAAATATTTATTTATTTATTATGTATGCAATAGTCTGTCTGTGTGTATGTCTGCAGCCCAGAAGAGGGCACTAGGCCTCATTACAGATGGTTGTGAGCCAACATGTGGTTGCCAGGAATTGAACTCAGGACCTTTGGAAGAGCAGGCAATGCTCTTAACCACTGAGCCATCTCTCCAGCCCCTGTGTGGCTTTATCTTAACTCTATTTTGTTTATTTTTACTTTTTGAGACAGGTTTTCTGTATATCTTTGTGATAAAATAACTCTGAAGACCAGGCTGTCCTTGAACTCTCAGAGATCCAACTGTTTCTGCCTCCCAGGCATTGGAATTAATGGCGTGTGCTACCACACCTTGAAGTCACAGAGGTTAATCTCCCTCTGTCTTCCAAGTGTTGGGATTAAAGGTGTGTCCTACAATACCCAACTACTCTCTTTCTTCCTTTTTTTTTTACTTTAAGAATTTTAACTTTTAGTCTGCATATATTTTCAACACACTGTAAATCATTTAGAGGTTTTGTTTTTGAATCTCTCTTTACTGTATCTCTCTCTCTTTTTCTGAACACATGAGCCTTTAAATTACGGAGCAATATGGGTAAGATTAAAGCCATGGCTTTGTGTAGTAATAGGAGCGGCGGGCCTCCGTTTTGTTCTGCCCGGCTCCTGCATGGCTAGCTTAGCCCCAGAAATAACAACACACAAACTCTATTCTTTTAAACACTGCTTGGCCCATTAACTCTAGCCCTTACAGGCTAATTCTCATATCCCGATCAACCCATCTCTAATAATTTGTGTAGCACCGGTCTTACAGGGAAAGATTCAGCATGTCTGACCTGGCGGCTTGCTCCATCGTGTCTGCCTCTGAGAGGAGCTGCATGGTTTCTGAGCTCACTTCCTCTTCCTCCCATCATTTTGTTCTGTTTACTCCACCCACCTATGTTCTAACGAATCAGGGCCAAGGCAGTTTCTTTATTTGACCAATGACCTTCCTCCATCAGCTTTGGCAGCTAGATCTAGCCCATTCCTTAGCTTTCCAGCCTCATGGCAGAGGTATCGGTTGTAGCCATGTTTACCGCCACAACTCTATGGTGTTTTAAGGTCCCTGCCAGCAAGCAAAGTGCAGCATTCTGCTCACAGACCACATTCAGTCAGACTACCTGCTTGAGTCTGAGTCAGAGTTAGCCCTGGCAGGACGGCCCAGAAAACCAGCATTTTAAAACAGCACAACTTTTTTCCTGCTATGGCCAAAAACAAACAAGCATTCAGTCAACTTTTTATCAACACTATTTAAGTGTTTCTTTACAGGACCTCCTAAGAGCTGCAGAGTTTTGCAGCTAAAGCTGAGTCAGGAAGCCTCTCTTAAAGGAGAGCGCTTGCTTGCCTCTAACAAGCAGAGCAGACCTGAGAAATTGCTGCTACCAAGAAAACATGCTTTACTCTTTCCCGAGCTTTCTCAGGCTTTCAGTGGATTCAGTTGTCCACACGTCTGGGCGCCATTCTGTAGGAGGAGCTGCGGGCCTCTTCCCACAGCCTGGCTCCTGGCCGCCTGGCTAGCTTGCACCCTGAAATAACAACACACAAACTGTATTCATTTAAACACTGCCTGGCCCATTAATGTGTGTAGCACCGAGGAGCACTTACCGGGAAGAATCTAGCCTATGTCCATCCTGGGTTGGAGCTTCATTGCGTCTGCCCCAGAGAGGAGAGCTATCGAGTCTGAGCTCACTTCCTCTTCCTTCCAGCATTCTGTTGTTTACTCCACCCACCTATGTTCTAACCTATGAGGGCCAAGCAGTTTCTTTATTTTTTAACCAATGACCTTCCTCCATCAAACACCAGCACAGACAGAGCAGATGGACCTCTGTCTGCCTGAGTCCAGCCTGGTCTAAATATTGAGTTTCAGAACAGCTCTATAGAGAGAAAAGAAAAAGAAAGAAAGAAAGAGAGAGAGAGAGAGAGAGAGAGAGAGAGAGAGAGAGAGAGAGAGAAAAGAAACCACGACAAAGCAAAAGAAGGGGTGGATATGATTTAGCAGATTACAGAAGCCCTGGCCACCAACTCTGACAACCTGAGTTTCATTGCTGACTCCACATAAAGGTCGGAGAGCACTGACTCCACCATCCTACGACTCCTGTGTATGAGCCATGACACAGGCACCGCAGGTCTCATTTCCCTGCACTCACACCCACGCACACATATAAAACAAATTAGGTGAAAAATGGTTTCTTAAATCTTTATTTTCTTAAATCTTTATTTTTATTCAATATGCATTCATATATTCTTATGTTTGTACATGTGTGTCTCATGTGTGCCTGGTTGTCACAGAATCAGAAGCTAAAAATGTGAGCAGCTGTGTGGGGCTGAGAACTGACCCAACGTCCTCTGCAAGCATTCCTAACCACTGAGCGGTCTCTCCAGCCACATAGAGAAGTTTACTGGTTGGGACACACAGGC